TGCCCTGAAAGGGGGAGGGGGAGCCATTTGTCATGTGCTGGCAAATTGACTGAGGTGTACGGGTAGAGCTAGGGCCTTGCGTAGGTCTTGCATGGGCATTGAAATCGGTTTTTGGGCCACTTACCAACACTGGTATCTCGCCGGCATAGGACAGCTTGCGCGTCTGTCGCAACGTCTCCAGCCAGAGGGAGGTGCGACGCGCCGCATTGGTGGCGCCACCAGCCGAGACGCCACCGGCCCGTCCGCCAAAGCTGGCGGTGCGCGTCATAGCTGGCGATGCCGGCGCTGGCATTGCAATATTCACTGATGGGCAGGTGCCTGGCACTGATGGGCCGGTGCCAGAGACGGTGCCGATGGCGTTGCCGGTGCCGGTGCCGGTGCCAGGATACGCGACCTTCGTATAGAGACTGCCCTTGCATTGGTTCTCCATGCAAGAGGCAGGCGACATGCCACGCAACAAACAAAACAAAAAATTTAAAAAAAAAACGTCACAATATTTTTTTTCTTTTTTTTTTCTCTCAGCTTATTTATACAAATTGTTTGGATTTGTTGTTGCTGTTGTTGTTGTATTTCTGTTCAGTTGCATTTCATTTGAGATTTATTTGATTTCTTTGTTCGTTTCTTCAATTTCCTCGATTTTCACATCATTTTTTGTGCAGTCTCGTTCGACCACAATTCGAACGGTTCGAATGTTGATTTGTTTTTGATTTGAGCAGCGAGCGCGAGCTTTGTTGATTTTCGAAATTTTCAATTCGATTTTCGCCGACGATTCGGCTGCGTAATTGTCCAAAATGTAAACAAAACACGACGGGCCCAGTACGAGAAACCATTTGACTCGAATCGGGTTTTTCATTTTCCACTAGCCTTTCGCATGCAGTGTGAGTGCGCCTCCCCCCCTCTATAGGGTATATTAGTTGGGCCAGCGAGCCGTCCATTCGATTATCCAATTGTCGCCTGTCCGTCTGTCCATCCGTCTGACCGTCAGTGGCCCCATCGTGCCGTCCATCTAACTGTCAATCCCTACGTCTGTTGCCTAATTTCACTTGATCCTCCAACTGTCCGCCTGTTTCATCCGACCTGCCGCCCTTCTGTCTATCACTTTGACCCATCAACCTCATCTCATCTCATCTCTTCGTTCATCTATCTTGCTGCTCTGCAGTTCCCTAAATTGTCCGTCCCTTCATTTCATATATTTTGATTATCTATTTGCTTTCCCATTTTACTATTCTCCCGTCTTGCAGTCTATTCATCTGTCCAATCGTGCCTCTGTCCCTTTGTCCGTCAAGTTTACCATCCACCTCCCCAGTTCATTCCTCCTTTTGCCCATCCGGCCTCCATCAGCTTGTATATCCCGCATATGAGCTATTCTCGATAGATTCTAAAGTCCCCATTCATAGAAACCAATCGAGACAGAGATGGAACAAAATAAATCCCATAACACAAGTATGTAAATAAAGCTCTAAAACTCTTCAGGAATACATCTAAAACCAAGGAGATTCAACCATAACCAAATTTCCCATAGCTCAACTCCCATGATGTACAGGGTATTTGTTAGTCTAGCACTTTAACATATTGTTGGCGTTTTTCTTTTTATTTCAGCCTTCGGCTATTGCGACCTGCGCCCGGTCAGAAAAAAACAGAAAAAAATTTGTTATATTTATATATTCGATATAATTTCCCTTTTTTTCGCTCTAATTTGGCCGCAACGAAACGTTTCTAGTTGTCAGCACGCGTCGCCGATCGCCCGATCACCCGATCGCCCGATTGCCCGATTACCCGATTGCACGATTGCCGAGCAAATGGAATGGAACCAGCTGCCGAGATAGTCGCGGAGCGAGATTTCCGCCAATGCTGCGGCCGTCGTATTTTTATTTATACATCAGTTTTTTGTTCCTCATCGAATTCGCCGGGCGAAGGGCGAAATGCTTTTTTATGGCTAGCACGCGTCACAGATCGTGTGCATGGCAAGAACTCGAGGTGACTAACTGTTGACAATCGAGTATTTATGATCGCCTTGTAATAATGGGCTGATAATTATCGATGCGAGGTTACAGTTGTTCTGATTACTCTAAATGTATACTCATTATCGATTACTGGTCATCGAAATCGACTTGTTATCGTTTATCGATCACTGATTACAGACAATAGATAACCTATAGTGTCAGTCCCTCGTATAAACTGTCTACGAATTATTGCTAATTACTTTCCGACTATCGATTATTAATCGTTTCTTATCGAATACTGATAAACATTGATATGCAGTAACTGTTTGCTCATCATCGATTATCATTGACAGGGCACCCATAGCCGATTAGCCGATTAGCTTTAAGCGATAAATAAATATTAATCGACTGACAGTTATCGATTACAATAGCTAAACGTAATCGGTTTAATATACAATTGTTTATATTCATATCAATTGCTTACTGTCTGCTTTAACTGATTAACGATAAACGATAAACAAATATTAATCGATTAACGTTTATCGCTAACAATGAATGCTCTTCTGTCTGCTTTAATCGACAATCGATAACCGTTTATCGATTACTGATTGCTGACACCTAAGCCATAAACATAAACATCATACATCTCTTGTCTAATTTGTTTGACCGTGCGGCTGGCAAAGCGATAACCGATTGCTGTTTATCGAACAACCGATTACTAATCGCTGCTAATTGAAATGGAAGCAGCTGCCGCCGAGTGAGACATCCGCTGCCCTTTCCCCAATGTCTCTATTCCAATGGCAACAATTGTTTGCCTACGTCATGAGAACATTGCTAGCTTCCTGCTTGCTTGTTTTCCGCTCCAGCTCTCTCTCCCAGTCCAAATCAGCTATCGCTCTTGTCAACCCCTCTCTCTCTCTCTGCCTGTTGACAGGTTTGACTGAACTTGAAGATGCCCTGTGCCGCGTGACTCATTCAAAATGTGAATTGTGAAAAAGAAAAAGCCTTGTTCCACATGGCATTATTCCCAATACATATTACGAATACCCAAAAATATGAATATGAAAATGAGCTTTGAAATAAGAAAAGAATTCTTATTCAACAATCATTGGCCCGTGGCCAAATTGTGTTTTACAGCAACGCTTATATCCTATAGCCCGACCAAATTTCTAGGTCTATAAATTCCAGATATATTTCGCTATCGCAAACACAACTTAATTTGCACGGCAAACCCATAAATTGCCGATCGTTTAATGACAAAACTTAAATGTCATTCTCAACACTTCACGTTTGGTTTTTGTTTTTGTATTATTCTTTTGGTATTTTTAGTGCAGTATTTTTGTAAACAACATAAATACTATAGACACAAAGGTGTATACAAATTGTCGAAAATTTGCAAACATTTTGTGGTTTTTATGATACGAGAATACAGTTAGAGATATACAGTATATAGCTCAATATAGTTTATATCTATATACTAGAGAGTTATATAGTTTGGTATTTTGTATTGCAATCGATTTTATAGATTTCCGTTAGCAAATTGTCGTTGACATTTATATGGACTTACTTAATTTCCCACCAATAGCAACAAATTGGGACATTTCTTTTCTCACAAATTTCCCAATTATCTCACAAAATGACAATGCTATAAATAGATGTGCAATAAGAGTGTAGTAAGCACCTAAAATTTCTTGGAAAAATTACTCAAAAATATGCTGGTTTTTTTTTACACAAAGATTCCCCAAGATTTAAGATCGTATTCAATACTATTAAAGCTATGGCAATACCCTGTAAAAAATAATTATTGGAATATCATATATATAGTATATTTCATTTTGATTTAAAAATTGTTCATTATATATATAAATGGATTAATATATCTATATTAAAATTTAAACATGGTTTTCTTCTAAGGTGCATCTTAACAGGTAGTCGCGCTAGTCATTGTCAGAACATGTGCAGGGTATTCAATAAGTCAACGGCAGGCAAAGATGAACAAACATACTACGCTTACCTTTATATAGACTTATCTACGATCAAATCTCTAGATAATATATGTACTATATAAACATTAGCTATTGTGAATATGTGAATGAATGAGTGAATGAATGCGATTTGGCCTCAATGATTCAGATTGATTCGTATGCAAAATGATATACGGAAACTGAGCTCTGAGATTGTGAATGCATTGAATGAATAAATACTTTGAAGTGAATGTTTGAATGAATACATTGAAATGAATGTTTGAATGGGTGCAAATGAGCAATGAACTTTGAGTACATAAGAGAGGTGGACTATGAGTACATGAGATGGAAGAATTGCGAGAGAGCAGAACTATGAGTACAAGAGAGAATTGAACTATGAATACAGGTGAGAATAGAAAGAGTAGAAATTTGTCTATAAAACTATGAGTACAATTTGTGCAGGATAAAGAGTACGTTCGAGAGAAGAAAGTATGAATAGAATTCGGTGATTAGAAAGCAAAATAGAAGAGAGAGAGAGAGAGAGAGAGAGAGAGAAGAAATTTGTAGATGAATAGATTTCCGTACAATCACAATGAGTACAATCACTATGAGTACAATCACTATGAGTACATTCAATGAGTACAATTTGCTGGCACAATTCGTGAGTGCAAACTGTGAGGACATTCGAGTGGAGCAAAACTACGAGCATTACTACAATGTGTATTGGATGAGCACAATTTTGGAGTGAATACGAATGCGATAATGCGAGTTGTCGAGCTGGACTCGATAACAAAAGCAGAAACGGTTTAACGAACGCATTCAAAGCAAATGGCAAAATTGATTTGGGCATCAAACAAACTTCAACTACGAAACTTTTTTTTTTTTGATAACTTGAATATTTTTGTGTATTTTTGTTATGGTTGGTATTTTTTTTTTGGTATTTTTTGTATATACACAATGCACATAAATGCTAAAACGACTTTGTTGGTTTTTTTTTTAGGGTTTAGGAGGTTTTTTAATTGCCATACAAATTTTGTTTGTTTTGGTTTATTTTTTTTGGGATTGAATTTGTAAGATTTTTGTCATTAAATACCATTTTGGAGCATTGGAGAGTTTCGTTAGTGGCCTCTGTGAAGGCCCTTCTAAGTCGCAACTTTCGGCTTTCGGACAATGTGCGAGGCATTAGAAGAACGCCCTAAAGAGAATTGTCGATGCGAATTGTGATTAGTACAGTTAGTTAGTTAGTTAGAAATAGTTAGTTGTAGTTAATTTAATTAGTTACTTGAGGGAGAGGGGAGAAATATTAAAGGGGAGGATATATATATATTTAGGGCATATACATAGGTTAAATGAAATGGGAGCTCATTTTTAATAGTGAACATTGCACAGTATAGCTAGTATAACAGTTACGTATAACAGTTGTGTATAAGAGATATTATATTCGTTTATATATATTAAAGGTAAGTATAACAGATATATAACAGATATGATATTTATATAATGTATAACAGTTATGTATAAAAGATATATTGATTTCAATATATAACAGATATTTTAATGTAGAATTAATTAGCTCCATATGTAAGAGCTCTCTAGAAATACCAATTATGGTCTACATATGTAATATAAAAAGCAGTTCATATAATAAATACTCAATATCGAACTAGTTAAGACTTAAGTTAAATATATTTACATATAAATATATGTATATATGGTACCACAATGATATAAACGATATTTTTTTATATGAACAAACATTTATCTTTGATTGATTTAAACATATATTCATCTCTTTGGCCTGATGGATGATCCCACAAAATTTATATAAACTGTTGATCGACATCTACAACTGTGGCAATTAGCGCTATTAGTTCGCCTGTCTATCTATGCGTCTATCCATTTATCTACCCACTCGCATTCCCGTCTATATTTCTGTCTGCCTTGCCTGTTGTCTGTCTGAGAGCTTTGAGATTTTCAATATATGTACGTATATGACTGCCTTGTCTACCCTGAAGACAAATTGATAATTTGGTTTCTTAAATATCTATCGATAATCGATATTCGATTTTGCGATTTAGCTTGGAAAACATAAAATGGTGATTAAAATATTGAACAAAATTTAATTTCTCTTAATTTTTGGATACTTTAACCCCGTAGCCCTAGCCTAGCTCAATCAAAAGGTACTTGAAATATTAAATCTTAACTTGAGCTTTGACACACTTCAATATTACAATTCAATCGAACTACCAGCACAGCTTCAAGTGCAGAGTAACTGCAAGTCGAGCATACCCAACGAATGTACCCTAACTTGGCTTTAAAATACATCCGCTTTGGCTAAGCAACAGATAAAAAGGTTCAACGTTTATTTTCAGATAAAAGTTGACCCTTTTTGCTTGAGCTGAACTCTATCTATATATAAATATGTATATACATACATATATCCATAAGCCTATATATATATACATATATATATGTATCTATTTCTTACAGTCAAAGTTTTTAGCTAAACTATATATAATTATCATATAAATGTTTACAACTGACTAAATCCTTCAGCTTTGCACACGCTTGAAAAGTTTGAGCGCACACACACACACGCATACACGCAGTCTAAACACACGCGCACACACACACACACTTATAGCAGCGAATGAATGAATGAAAGTTTTTGTGTTGCATAATTAAGTGAAAAGCTTTTCAAATCATGAAAGCAGCTAAGCTGTAAAAGTTGTCGAAGCTTTCGCGTCCAAAAGCTCGCAGGCGCGTAAACAGTCAAAGCTCTCGTGCACACACCACACACACACAAACACACGCACACACGCGCAGTTATGCATAGTTAAGTATTTATTTATGGCTTGCCAGTACTTTAAATTGCATACAAAATTTATGTGCGCGTATTTGTGTGTGTGTGTGTGGGTGCGGGGAAGGGGGGGCTATGGCTGCTGAGAGTGGTGCGACCGCTTAGCGCAGGACTTAAAATGGAAAGCTTAAAGCTTTTAAGCCAAATGTATGCAAAAGTTATTTAAACAAAAAAAAAAAGCCAAACAAAACAAAAGCCACTTGGCTATGCCCAACTGACAGTTATCCTGGCTATCAGCAATTTAGAATATCGTTTAGTTAGTATATTAGTTAGTTAGTAGTAGTAGTAATAGTAGTAGTCGTTAATTAGTTAACTAACGATGCTTAGCTGCCTTGATATGCTATAACTAATAAAAGCTTTATTCCCAGCAAATGCTAACTTTTTGGTAAATGCTCGACTGGCTGATACCCTAGACTATTCTCCTGGCTAATATCCTGCGCCATATTTCACAACTTCTATGGGGTAAAAAGTATGGACTTTACAGGGCAGGGTGAAGTTTATAAGTAAGTGTATTTATTATCCATAGATTGATAAAAATTTGAAAGAAACTAAAGACTATATAGACAGATCTGAAGACAGCACTAACTAGACGGCAAGTCAAGTCCTTGATGTTATAAAGTATATGCATATATGACACCTACTCTATATAGACCATATTTATATACCATATATACCGCATATATATATATATATATATATATATATATAACATATATTGACTCCTGCACTAAAACGATATGCCCTGTTCAACTAGCTGCAATTGGTTACAGGATATTTTCATTGCGGCTAGGTCCGAGCACTTTATATCTTTATATATACATATATATATATATATATATATATATATATATATATATATATATA